GTACTGCAAGCCTCATATTATACTATCTCTTTATAAAAGAACCTAAGAAAGGTTCCCTTGCTTTAAACAATGCTAGTTGTAATGATAAACAGAAATAGATCCCTTATTCTTGTTAAGTTGATCAATTTGTTATTCAAATTATAACATGAAAAAACTTAAAAATTGTTAACTAAAGCTTCATAAAGTATTTCAACATTTTAAATACTTCCCGCTCTACAAGGCCTACCAAGTGTGATGTGTTTTCGCAAAGGAAGCTGAATGAATCAGAGGGCTCTGCACAGGGACAGAAGAGGATCTGTGTGGTTTTCAGCACACACTGAGGCCATCAGGCTAAACTGTGGCTTTGCTGCAAGCAAGACACTGCTCTGAGAAACAGATGAGGAAACAGATTGCAACTCCCAGACTGACAATCTGCTTGCCGTGTTTCTTACACTTTGGAGGAGAAATAACTCGGGCCAGGCCTACACATGGTGTAGCCGCGCTAAGTAAGGCTGAGCAAAGAACGAAACCATTCCCTGCCACAGTGCCAAGTGTGGAAGGGGAAAAGACCAGCTCCAGGCAGGCTGCTCCACCCTCTCATGCTGTGTAATGGCAGCAGCCAACAAAGAGCAAAAAAGGGCCAATGCAACCTTCCCTACTAGTCTGTGCCAGTTCACATTAATTAATATTCAATCCCACAGTCCCGTTAAAAATCCAAAGCTCTTTTAACATGTAATATGTACATATAATCAAAAACTATCCATTCCTGCTAGTAACTTAGAACAAATGGGCATATGCATGGCTACATGTGGCAAAATGAAGTAAGGTCTCTGAGATACATTAAAACCTCCAAAGTTATTTTTCCTAAAAACTCTTTGAAAGAAACATAGGCTGTCTCTATCCAACAATGAAAAACTGGTTGGTCAATTAAAACATGCTATGTATAAACAGATAATTAAATTAAGTAAATTAAAAATACCAGGTTTATTAGAAACACTTTACTCTTTCTATGTGTTAAATCCTTTAATATGCATTTAAAAATTTTGAATACAGAAATGAAATTATACATTCTGCTAGAGAGACTGTGGGATTTTACTGTCAGGTTTTTGTGCTTACACTGGAATAATATAAGAGCCAGTGAAATCACATAAAAATATGTGAAAATTCTATTTGCAATCTGGAAAAAAAATTTCCTAATTCTAAACTTCAAAAACTTTTTTTAATATAAAATATATTTAATATATTAATGTATGACCATTCCAGGCAGTGGAATCCACAAAGAAACAGAAAAAATAAATTTAGACTTAAGTCTTCTAAACTTTGAATGTTTTATAAGGTGTCCCAACATAGTGAAAGAAGAGACTCCAACCCTGCACTAATGTTTTGGGTTAGAGACCATAGGCAAAACATGTAATACAGCTTCAGATGTCCTAGTGTATCACACTGGGAATTTATATGTATCTCCAGAGTTCCTGGTTCTTTTCAAAGTCCATCATTCCATTCCAAGAACACTGGCACCTAAAGTGCCAGTAAGTACCCAAGTTTAAGCAACTAAATTACATCAAGTGTTTACTTAGGTTACTTGCTCTAGTATGTTGCAATGCTGATCTTTGCACCTGAGGAATTCACCTTCACTACACTGAGCCACAATCTTTATAATAAAGAGCAAACTATGGATATTGAGGCAGGGGACACAAACTGACCCACAGCAGCCTTCCAAAGCTCCTCCTAAGTTGAAATGAGTTATAGAGTCCACACAGTCAAACATCACTGAGTTGTTGTCATTGTTTTAGACAAACTAATCTGGCCATGAGGTATTATGTAGTAAGTATTACAGATGTCTGGATGCATATGAAGTCTTAATTAAGCATACATCATTTTCATGTACTTTGCACATACTCTAAGCACGTGTTGAAATTCTCGCAGGAATTCATTCATACATTTATATGTGTGCTTAAATAGCTTTGCAGAACAGAGCTGTTTTCTTGAACTGTTGTTATAATTTAATGACTTAGGAGTTAGAAGTCAGGCCTTTAAAATTTATAGAATTTAGTCTGCAATTAGCATCAACAAGTAGGTCCAACTATAGAATACCCATACAAAAGTTTGCCCTATTTTCCTCCCAAGTACCAAAAAATACATTAATCAGTAAGAAAAAAAAAGCTGTTATAAAAATGTAAATAGGACATCAGAGCTCAGATAGTTTTTTCATTGGTTCAGATAACAATCAAGGTGTATTTTTCAATCTATGCATATTAAATTTCATTCACGGGGCACATAATTACTGTGAAGCAAATTTCCATAGAAATTAGTCCATAGTCTATCCATAGAGCATTCAGTCACATAAATTGAGTTGTCTTCAGCACTTTGAAGAAATCCAAAGGGACAATGTAGTCCTGCTACCTAGACCAATGCATCAGGCACAATATTGGTCTATATGCATACTGAAAGAGTTGTACTTTTCCAACCTAACAGTAGAAACAGCACTACCAAAAGGAGAAAGAAAGACCTTTCTCACTACAGTGGAACATGTACAGTCCTTGGGCACAATTTTAGAAACTGAGCAATAATTATGATCAACAAAACAGCAGGAGTTACTGTCAAAATGACTCATAAAAAATAAATAAAATAAAGAAAATTATGTCCCTATATTATTCTCTGTTGCTTTTATTAAAACTTTCCAAAGTTTTTATTCTAATAAACTGCATGCAAAGATACCAATATAGCTGTACTAGTAAACTTCTTCAGGTTTTCTATTTAAAAAAATCTTTGGTTCCGCTTCAAAGTCAAACTTTTATACTGTACAAGTATTGCTCTTCTACAGCTTCATTATTTTCCGTGTGTTGATTTCCCAAACAGGATCAGGATGTTCATACGACTCTCATATTGTTTCCATGTTTTCTGTACCAAGATAGAACCAACCTTAATCTTGCATGTCATTCTGGACTTAATCCATAATTAATGGCAACAGTTAGATCATGGAACATTTCCAAAAACAAACAAAAAAAAAAAAAGCTATGTCAAAACAAAATACCCATCACATATAATTCTTTCTTGAAAAACATTTACTATAATGCATGCTAGTTTCTGCTTCAAGCTTTCCTGCTGAACCCTCTAAAAAGTCCTATGTTCTATACTGTGTTAGATTGTGAAACATTTAAGCATCATTAATGATGCTCACTGAATTCTTTCTAAATTAGAAATATTTCATCATACAGCTGGATGCAGCATACAGCTGAAAGTTCATTCTTAATTTTTGAAGCTGTGTTTACAGAAAGACATAGACATTCTTGTTAACATTAGTAAGAAATGCCATAAATTAAACAGTCTGTTTTACTCTGCTTTACTTCTCTTCAAGCTAAGTGCACTTCCAGGAAAAAGAAAAAAGCCAGTTGACTTTACAACCTAAAATTCTTCTATCCTGAGTAACAAACAAGAACTGTGATGACCCATCTGCATATACAAAAACACACGGTTCACATGTTCTGTGTACACAACATACCACAGTGCTGTTTAATAAAGGACGGCAAACACAAGGAAATACACTCCCTCTGGATATACAGAACTCACAATATACAACATGAAATAAACAGTGCAAGAATACAGCACAGACACTAGCCCTGGAGAAAGCCATTGCACAAACCATGTGTTAGAACTAGATTATAAATGGCCAGTCATTGTACTGAAGTGAACTTACTTCTGTACTTAGAAACGTAGGTATCATATTTCAAATTTAACTGACTAGCTGGCACATTTCTTCCTAAGCAGCCTATTCGAGTACAGTACAAACAAGCAATGACATGGTGTGTTTGGGTTTTGGTCAATGGGCTAATAATTCAACAGTGGTGCAATAGCAAATTGAACTGGGGCACCACAGAACTTTGGTAAACTATGAATACCTGAACTGTTGTTGTTTACAGCACTAAACCTAGTTTTAAAATAGCAAGACTTTAAAATAGAGTTTAAACAGTATGATTTGGAGTATAAATTGGAGAGTTACCATTAAAATTTCCCTGATAGGGAACATGGAAATAATATAAATACCTTGATAAGAAGGCACTGGCAACAGAATCACATTTTAATTTAATCAACTTCCATGGTGCTAGGCCTTTTCTTTCTTTAAGGAATAAAAAAATCAAACCAACCCCCAATTTATTCAAGTTCTAGGTCAACAGTGTTTAAGTTAATTTTGTCTTCTTTTGCTATGCCTAGTTTAGTGTTGAACTCTAGCACTAGACTGTGTGCTGCAGACCTTCTCTGCTCTGAGTACAGTCAAATGCCATAAATGACTCTGACAATGCTATGACTTAAGAGCATGATGAAACTTACGATCAAAGCTATGCTGTAGATCGCAGGAGATACAACTAACGACTGAAGTTAAGCCCTGTCACCCAACATGGCCAGTAACCCAGTTTCATTCCACTAAATCCAGGTACCTTGAAAGTAATGCTGCTCTTACCTAATCTGCTCCCTAAGTTTTACACCTCCTCTGCCTCAAAGATCTCCCACAAAAAAAAGATTTCTTTTCTTTGTTTTGTAGGCTTATTACAATGGCATGGCTAATTTTTTCTGCAAGCAAGGGAAGAAGCAGTGGGTGAGGGTATGGGGTGAAGCTATGTCTTTTAACACAGAATTCCACAATGCAATGCCTTGTCTGTGATAAACACTTCCATCTGTGATTAAAGTAGCAATTTGAAGATGGAAATATCAAAGGAAGGAAAATTAATATATTGTATGTATTAACCCAGCAGTCAAAACATAAGTTCTGCACCACAGCTAGTAACAGAATGAACAAGGACCCTGCAGACGCATTGAGGGAGGAAATTCAGTACCACTATATTAATAAAATGACTGCCTGTGACTTTAAACCCTGGCATGCTTGTACTTGGCGAGAGAGTGAACGATTTATTGTTACTATGAAGGATGCAGGAATTGAAATGAAGATGAGAGGGGCGATGATAATGATGATAGGGAAGAACAGGTTAATATCCCCAGCATTTGATGGGGAACGATGTCCCTACCTCAATAAGCTGGATAAGGGAATAGCTCCAGATCCACTGCCCAGGATCCCTCCTTTCCTCCCAGAGAGGAGTTTCTCCACCAGAGCCACATTCCCAGTGCGAGCGGCTTCCAGCAGTTCCTGGTCCTTCCCCATGGTCGGGCACCAAGCAGCCCCGCACGGGAGAGCTGCACCCCGGGTCACTGCGGCCCCCTCCCTCCAGAGAACGGTCTCCCCTCCCCAGCCCCTGCCTGAGAGCAGAGCACGGCAGAGATTCCTGCAGTCCCTTCCAGACCAGCAGGAGCAGCAGCAGGAGGGAGGAGGAGAATCACCTCCTCCTAGTTTCACTGGATCATTTCTGGGTGGAGTGTGGAAGAAGGGGGGAGGGAGGGAGAGAGGGAGGACGAGGCCAATAAAGAACCTCCCCCCATGCACACACAGCCCCGGCCGAGGGGCTGGGGCGGGGGGAGCGGGCAGCCTCGACCCCCGCGGCCGGCCGGGCCGGCGGGGATAACGACCCTCACAGATGAATGGATGGACGGACGGACGGACGGACGGAAGCGGGGAGGAGCGGGCGGAGGGAGGGAGGGAAGCGGCGCAGCCCTGCCGTGCCAGGCCCGTTGCTGAGGAGACGCGGCTGGCGCGCTCCCAGTGGCTGCCCGGGCACGGCGCCCCCTCCGCGCCGCTCCGCCTGCCCCGCGGCCCGCCCCGCGCCCCACTGCGGTGCCGGCAGCGCCGCCCGCCCGCGCCCCCGCGGCCGCTCCCGGCGGCCTGAGGGCAGCGCCGGGCCGGGGCCGGGGCCGCGCCGAGCACGGGCGGCCCGGGGCGCGGAGGAGCCGCGGGAGCAGAGGGCGGCTCCCGCCCGCCGGGCGACTGTCAGCGGGAGCGGGCGGGGCGAGGGGCCCGCGGCACAGCGCGTGTGTGCGAGCCGGGGGCTCCGCCGCGCGAAGCGGGGCAGGCAGACAGGAAAACCCGGCCCCGCGGGCGTCAGCAGCGAGCCGGGCAGCCGGCACCTGCCGCACGGTCCCGGCTTCTCGGGATTTCCAACGGAGTATCGGTATAACTGAACATATTTGGTATCCAATCCAGTCAGCCCTTCTGGAGCTCCCCGTTCTGTTACAGAGACCATTCAGATTGTGTGACTTTTCCGGGCACCGAAATTAATCATTCCTCTTGCATTTGGGGTTCTGTTAAGCCAAACTGAAAATACTCAGTGCTGGTCAACTCCTAGGTACATCCTTGACAAATGCAGCATACTGTGCATATGCGAGAACTAGATTATAGCCCCGTGTTCCTGTTTTAGTTTAGTAATTGGGGTAGGTAGGACCATAGGCAAATAAATTTAGTAATTGGGGTAGGTAGGACCATAGGCAAATAAATTATAATCCCTCACCCCCCACTGGGATTAGTGGCACTCTCCCATGTGTTCCCATTCTCCTCTTGTATTCACAAGAAGCAATGGGACCAATGGCAAAATAACATTGTGTGAGGCAGGATTCTGATGTTAGGTTTTTGGAGAGTGTTTATTACACCAAACCTATGGTACATTTAAGGCAGTGGAAAGATCCTTGTTGATTTCACAAACGATTTGTTTTAGTGCCTGTCAGTCACAGTTCTACAAATGTTTTTGTGTTTCTATTAGCTAATTAAGAAATTTTAGTATCTTAAAAATTGATAGAAATTTCATTGTGGGGTCTGATTTTCTCATACAGAAGAAAAAAACAATCCTTATGGAGACCTATCATTTCAATAAAGTAATCCACAAAGTCATTCATACAAAACAGTATATTTTAGCTAGGAAATGTAATTTACATACTTTGTCATTTTCAGGATGTAAAATTATGTCTTCTCCAATATTGTCAGCAGGACACAGAACTGAACACATGCATAAAATTATTAAGGACTCTAACTACAGCTTTTCTTACTGAAAGAGTCTGATATAAATAGCAATTTTAAGGCCTGATTTTGTGATCACAAGGGCTTCAATGTGGTTTGAATATGTAAATGTATAATCACATGAATTTCGATTTATAGTTTAAGTCCTTAGCCATAGCAGTCACCGTGGAAAACTGTAATTTAAAGCCAGACTAAAAAGTTGTATCTTGTTGCCAGCCACTTGAGCATTAACTAGTACCAAAGAAGTCAGCCATAAACCAAGAGCACCCCTGCATTCTGAATTCATGTTAAGGTTGCCATAATTTCCCTGTATTCCTGCCTTGCTTTTGATTTTGTACTCAGTCACGTGCATTGCCTGATAAACACCTCACATGTATCTTCAGCATGCTCTGCATGAAGAGATTCCTTCAAGTTTGCTTAGAGCCTCGGAAGAGGTGCCAGTATTCAATGAAGGGCTAATCTTAAGGCAGGAGTGTGTGCATAAACCTGCACATTTGTGAAAAATTAGATTAGAAGCAGATGCTAAGGAAAATCTCAGGTTTTCAAGAATTTGTATTGTTTATGTGGTTGGATCAGCAGATGGTAAATATGACTCAGTATAAATGTTACATAATTCTTCTAGGGAAAATAAAATCTCAAGACTGTGCTCTAATTGAAATGATCGTCCAGAAAGCTGTTGAAGAACAGTAAGGAAAATCAGCATAGAAATATCAATGGAGCAGATGCATGCAGTAGCCAGCAAATTCAGAAGGATTTTATGAATGTAGAAATAAACCCACAGCCCAGTGCCCAAAAACACCTGTGAAGGCCAAATAGAAGATTTGGTTTCATTAACAAATAAGGCAGAACAGAGTAATTCCATCAATTTGAAAAGCAAAAAAGAGTGTAAGCAGCACTCTTTAATGGAAGGGTTAAACGTGGATAAATTCTAAGGGCTACTGAAGCGAAGAATTGAGAACATGGGCTGGTCTGTTTCCAGAGATGAAACTGACAGAGGGCTGTAGTAAGAAAAGCAAAGTATCTAGACTGAGTTGAATGTATATGGCCAAACCCATTCATTAGATTAAGTGGACTCCTTTGTGTTTTTAAATGTCTTACATTTTTTGCTCCTGGTAATATTAGGAAAAGACTGTGGAGTTTTAAAAGATGTATGTAACAATGATAAATAAGTTAATTAGACACAGAATGTAGAAATACGGCTGTATAATTTGCAGTAGTTACAGATGAGAAAAATAATTCATAATACAGCAAAGAGATCCTTCAAAATGTTGTATGCTTTGTATGCTTTTTAAGCAGAGATGTTCCATATGACAGCAGAATTTTGATTCTAGGATTTTAGTATTTGTAAAGACATTTTAAGTTATGACCACTGCAGCTGTCAGTATCTAAGTGGCATCACACCTTCAATCTCAAAATTTCTCTCAACACAACATATGCTTTACCTTCTGTTTTCTTCCATTTTCTAAAATACCAGAGAGAGCACTTAGCCTACCTAGAAATTCTTTAACTGGTTTGTAATTTGAAAGGACTAGAAGTGACTGTATAAAGCAGGGAGTTTCGTTAATGTTTTTACAATGCAACTATCACTCGGCTTTGTTCTCATATCAGGGTGACAACGTCTTCATTTCCTCCTCCTGCAGCCTCCCTGAATTAAAGGTATATTAAATGGGTGCTTTCTAACATTCCATGACTTTTCCATCTTTATTTTCAAGCAGATGCATGGAAGAGAGTATGAAAAACTGAGTTGTAGGTATTGAAGAAAACACTAAATTATGATATTAAAAAATAGTTGTGTAGAATAGCAAATATATTGACATCATATTTCAGGACTATGCATTGTCCATTCTCTCACATAAAGATATAGGGAAGGCCTAAGATCCTGATTACAAATTCTGAGGGGTATTCTGAAACAGAGCACAAAATGCTAGAGCAAACCATCAGCTCTTTTTGACAGCAGAAAATAAATTAGCATTAAATAGGCCTGATTGTTATTCTAATTTTTTGTGAAGGCTGCCCAAGAGAAAGAAGTATTTTTCATGCATCCATGCATCTGTGTGGCAAGTGTTTTTCTTTCTTGATATTGTCTTTTACTCTTTAGAGTGTATGTCTATAGCATAGAAAAAAAACTGAGTTTGAAGCCATGAGCTCTTGAGGCCAAGTGTGAATGCCATCATGTCCTGGTTCCCTGCCAAGGTGGAACCTGGATGCAGGTCAGCCCTCCTCAGGGATACGCTCAGCAGGTAGATGGCACAGTGGACATGGCCTCAGTTTGGAAAACTGGGACACACCATAATACTCACATGACGCTTAGTTTAGCTCTCACCACTGAAATATGCAAAAGGACTTGCATCCTCCCCCACTGTAAAAGAAAATTATAGAAACTGGAGGTACTAAAACTAACTCATGAGGGATATAAAAACACCAAGATTTCTGTGGTCTTAAAAAGCCGCATGGATTCTTGGACTCGCCCAATTAAGTAGAAGCTGAAGTAACATGTGAGGGAAATGCCATTTTTGACAACTTATCCACAACAATCCTGTCTCTGACCAAACAATTCTGACTAGATGCCATTTGCTATAAACACATAGTTCCTTTCAAGCATGTTGGAAATTTGCAGGGGAAAAGAATGCAAAACCAGTCCCTTGGTGATGTTGCACAACAGCAAGACATTGTCTCAGCATTTGCAGTGACCCCATGGCATCATCTTTATGGGGCTCTGAACATGTTAAGGAAGAGCAAGAAATTAAACTGTGATTCTGTCTCACAGCCACTAACCTACAGAGTCATCTGAATATACCATGGGAGTGTGCTACATTACCCACAGGGCTGAAACATCCCACTGCTGGGAAGTGTCAAGGACACACAGACTGCAGTTGTGTCAGTGCTGGAAAGCCAAACTTCCAGAATATGGGCATGAGATAGTACTGACAGAAAGTCAGATCTGTCTGCTGTGCCATTTCCAGTGCAGTTGTGATTTTGCTCTGATGGCAGATCCTAAGGTTAACTGGCATATATATAGATATCTTTACATGTATTTCTTGTGTCACAGCAGGTGGGATTAGCAGTATGATTATTCATCCAGTCCTTCTGCTCTATGTTAGGTTTTCGTCAGTGTGCTATCAAAATATGCCTGACACTATTTTTCATGCATTAGAGAGAAATGCACAATCAAATGTGGATACAAGTTGGTAAGAGCAGCATGCTGATTAGATGCCCCAATCCAGTGTGTGCTGACGGATACAGCACAGTATTAAAGCTTTGCCTGTACTGCTTAATGTGCAGCTTATTGCATAAAAAACAACTTGTTTCTATCTTTGATACATAGAACCTCTTTCAGACTATAAAATATTTTCCTCTTCTTATCTTCCTTTGAGGATATGTACAACATTGCCTACACATCAGATTTTGACTGCCTGAAAGAGGGATCATAGAGAAGTCTCAGCTGAAACATGCAAGTGA